ATGCAACACTGAAATGAATCAGTTGTTAGCATTATCTGACAAGAATTTTATAGCAAGCATCATGAAAGTGATTCAATAAGCAATTATAAATCTCTCGAGAAGAAAGAAAAATAGAAAATATCAGCAAAGAAATAGACATTATTAAAAGAAAAAATTGGAAATTATAGAATTGAAAAATAAAATAGAAAAAATAAACAACTTCCTGGATTGGTTAATAATAGAGAGGAGATGAAAAAGGAAAGAACCAGTGAGTTTGAGGACAGAGAGAAAAGCAACAGAGAGAAAAAATATGAGGGAAAAAAAATGATCAGAGCCTCAGAAACCTATGGGGAAAAAAGACCCTAAATTTGTATGAACAGAGTCCTAAAAGTGGAAGAAAAAGAGAGTGGAGCTAATAGTCGAAGGAAAATTAGCTAAAAATTTCCCCCGTTTGGCAAAGGACACAAATTCACAGATTTGAAAAGCTGAGTGCTATGGTTTGCATAAATGTCCCTCAAACACCTGTGGTCACCAGCCCACAGAACTATTAGGAGGGAGTGGAAACTTTTTACCGTGGAGCCTACAGGAAGGAAAGCAATTGGGAGCATGCTCTTGAAGGGGGCATTAGGACTCCAGCCCCTCCTCTTTGCTCTTGGTTTCCTTCCCAGCCACAATAAGATGAGGAACCTCCTCTGCAACACCCTCCCTGCCGTAATGCACTGCCTCACCCAGGCCCAAAGGCAGCAGTGCCAGGTGATCAACTGAACCTCTAAAACATGAGCCTAAATAAACCTTTTCTCTCATGAAGTTGAATTTTTACTGTAAAGAAAATTTTACTGAGTAAATCCCAAGTAGAATAAGCGCAAATAAATAAACACCAACATATATCAGAAGTAAATTTCTGAAAATTAAGAACAAAAGGGAAAAAATGCTAAAGATAAAAGAGGAAGTTAGCCAGAAAGAAATAATGTATCATTTGTAAGGATCATCAGTTCCAATGGCAGAGGTTTTCTCATTACAAACCTTGGGGTACAGAAAGAAGTGCTGTGGATTTTTCAAATTCTAAAAGAAAAACAGAGTCAATAATGAATTCTACATTTAACTATCCTTCAAGAATGAAGGGGCCGGGCACTGTGGTGCACACCTGTAATCCCAGGGGTTTGGGAGGCTGAGGCAGGAGGAGTGAGAGTTCAAAGCCAGCCTCAGAACGTGAGGCATTAAGCAACTCAGTGAGACCCTGTGTCTAAATAAAATACAAAATAGGGCTGGGGATGTGGCACAGTGGTTGAGTGTCCCCCCAAAAAGAAAGAATGAATAGGCAATAAAGATTATCTCAGACTAAGGAAACTAAAAGAAATTGTCACTAACATACCTATCCTTAAATTTTACTAATGTTTTTTAACAGAAAATTACAAAAGAAGAATCTCAATGACATGGGAAAAAGAGAAAAAACAATGGGGAGAACAAAAATATAGGTAAAAATATAAGTTTTCTAAACTATATATAATGATTAAAATAAACATTATAATACTTTCTGTTCCCTATTGCTAAATAATACATGGATCAAAGAAAAGGCCTCAAAGACAATGTTGAAAATACATATAACCAAATTAAAATTAAAGTGTGGCATGTGAAAATATGTGGGATGCAGCAAAAGCAATATTGAGTTAAATTTATACTGCTAAATCCTTGCAATAAAAAAAAAAACTAAAAGAAAAATAAACCTGAAGCAAACTGAAAGAAGGCAATAATAAGGAACAAAAATCAATGAAATTGAAAACTGAGTAACAGAAAAAAAATTAATGAAACAATAAACTTGTTCTTTAAAAATAAAAATCAATGAAATTAATAAGCTTACAAAAAATGGAGAGAGACAATATAGACCATCAACATCAGGAATGAATTAGAGAAATCACTACAAATCCTATAGCTATTATAAGATAATAAGGCATCACTGTGAGCCAAATTACGCTCATAAATTTGACAAAAAAAAATCAGCACCAACATAGAGGATCTAATCATGTAGATAATCTAGTTGACAAATATAGAACATAATGTAGTTAACAAATATAGAACACTCCACCCAACAACAGCAGAGCGTATATATATATATATATATATATATATATACACACACACACACACACACACACACATATATATACACATACCTCACAGGGGAATGCATTACAATTCTCTCCACCAGGAAGTATTACAGGCTTAAGACCCATTGCTATGCAGCTAAGTGGGAGTCACAGAGATCAAAGACCACTAGAGGAGATTATCTCCCCAACACTAACAAAGGAATATATAGAAACTGAATAAAACACAACATTATTTATAATCACCCCAAAGAAAGTAATAAATAAAAGTGTATATTTAGTATAAACTTAACAAAAAATGCTTAGGGTCAGTGTGTGGAAAATGACTCAAGAGTAAAAAGAACAACCCAGTTAGAAAGGGGCAAAAGACATTGGAGAGATATTTTGCTATAAAAGATAAACAGATCAAATAAATACAGGAGAAGTTGTTCAACATACTAGTTATTAGGCACGAATTAAAACCACAATGGCATATCACTGCCTATCTATCATAATGTCTTAAACTTAAAAAAAATAATAACCAAATGTTAGTGAGGATGTGAATAAATTGGATCACTCACTAATACATTGCTGATGAGAATGGAAAATAGTCCATTGGGAAAACTGGGTGAACTATACATGGGATTCCCTGTATTATTTACATGAAGTAATATTTCTTATTACTTCATGTAAATATACTATTATCACTTAAATGGTTTAATTAAAAAAACATATTCAAACATATTTATGTATACATATTCATATATGCACATACATACCTTTTATATATTGTATATATATTCTGTATATATACACATACATACCAGTTTTAACTATTAGAGTTATACGTATTTAGCAGTATATATAAGTATATATATATATATATATATATATATATATATATATAGTTGTTTATGTACATATATAGTGTGTGAATATATATATACCTTTATGTGTATGTATATTACTATACATATTAATGATACATACATATCATTAACATATTAATGTATATATCATTATATAGTAAGTAAGTAGGAGAATACTTAGAGGATTCATGTTTGTATCCCCAGTCTGCCATTTTCAGTTTTTGTGTCAAACTGAAGTTCATGGAATGAACAATACATGAAATTCTTGTTCATGAAATTTGTTTTCTCTTTATTTTAGGTAAGACTAGATTTTTCAGTCTTCACTACAGTAAAATGTGGTTGTATGACTAAATTTCAATCAGTGGAAGGTGGATAGAAGAGTCCCATTACTCATGGGGCTCCACTCGTAAAACCTCCAGGTTTCATATTCTACTTTCCTTCCTTCTCCAGCAACTTGCTGCAAAAGACTACAATAAATTCAGAAGTTGAGTTTGAAAAGGGAGGGAAAAAAGAGAAGAGGCTGTGACTCTGAATCACCGTTGGAAGGCAACTGATGATAGGAACCCATTTTTTTGGAGTTCACATGTGTGAAAATAAACAATTTCACTAAGCCTCAGAGATGTGGTCAATCAGAACCTCTTAATTCATTTAATCATTTTTGGCAGCCCTTCAGAAATCAAGTCCAACACACTTTTCTAGCATATTCTACTGCCTGTTCTGTTTGAATCTGTTGGTCATCTGTGCCCTTTTATCTGATAAGGCAATATTAACCATATCCTCTGCTGTGATAGAATCCCCTCTCTATACCTAAACCAAATATTTTAGAAACAAATTATAGTCACCCCTACCTTGTTCCAAGAAAGATTTAACTAAAAAAAAATGCATACACTGTACCAAAATCAAATAACTTGGAAAGAAAGAAGAAAAAAAAAAAGAGAGACAACATTAAGAAACAGAAACAGGAAATTGAAATATTCCTAGGGGTGAGATAAATATATAACAGAAAGACATTTATGTCTCTATAAAACATGTTTAGACATCTGGCTACATCATCGTTATTTGTAGCAGCCTACATTATTGGGAAATATGCATTACAAAATTTATTTTATGTTTGTTATTTATCAAATTTTGTTTGCATGCCTTTAAAATGTAAGGTAAAAGGTGTGCAAGGAAAATAATGTGTTCTCATAAAGAGGACAGCACATGAGCAAATAAACATTTTCTTCAGCAACCTTACACAAACACTACCGCAAAACAAATTCATTAATCTTCAAAGCTGAAATATTAAAAGAAAATCCCAGGTGTAAATAGAGTAACCCACCCATTTTCACTTATCCCTTATTACTTTTCTCAGAAATCCCCAATAAAAACTAAAATATTTTCCTGAAGTGTCTTACACTAACCTATTGAGAAAAAAAAAATAAGGTGGAAATCTAAATTATAATTTATTTTCTCACTGATATCTATGCAATTGTGGATAATTGCTGCTTATTAACAAATTGGGGACTGTATCAAAAATTCTGAAAGTTTTTAGAACATTAAGCAGACCCAAACACAATTGTCCATTGGAAACCTCTGGGTTTTACAGTAAGAATAAATAAAGATAGAGCATAAATTTAAATTTGATGTATAAAATGACTTTAGCTATAGAATAGTAGCAAAATATTACTTGAAACTAGATAATTGGTCTCAATATAAGTAGAAATAAGTACCGTGACTTTGTTAGCAAATTCAAATAACACATAAAATTTAACATGAAAATTAATAACAAAATATACCAATACTTTTGCTTTTCAAGGTAAATAATTTGTGGTATACTGAAATTCCCAGTAAGTGTATGAAAATTTTTACCCTTTTATACACTTCTTCTGTTCCTATAGTTAACATTTTCCTCCTGCAGAGAGGAATTATGAGATGTGAGCCAAGATTCTTCTCAAGCCCACAAGGGGGACCCTTTGCACCATGGCAACACAGTTTACGTAGCACAGGTTTTACTGCTAATACACCATTTGGTTAAATCCATAGTCTGCCATCAAGTGAAGAAAGTCATTTCCTGTCTCCTTGGCCTCACCTGTGAATCCAGGCTGACAGATACAAACGTAGCCCGAGGCTTCAAGGTAGCTGAATGAAGAAGGCAGCCCAGCAATACGACCATATTGTTTCTCTGAGGACAGCTCTATGCATTCCCCATCAGACTGGCAGGGGTTACTCTCGCATTCGTTGATGTCCATCTCACACTGGGCACCTGTGTATCCTGCAGGATGAAAGTTCAGAGAAGCCGCTGAGTCAAAGCTCTTAAATCATAGAGCATATGCCTGAAAAGAGGCTGACCACTGTGCTGGCGCCAATTAGCAAGGTGCCAATGCTCAAAGAGCTAGCCAGGGGAATCGGGTAAGAGGAGGTTTACGTGGAAATAAATATCAGTAGCAATGGAATCACTTGCTTAATTTGGCCAATTTTTTTTTAAAAAAAGATTTGATTAATAAAGACTGAAATAAAATGGGACTTCAGGGTAATCTTGATTTAATCTGAACATTTAATTAAATGAATAAAACACCATTCATTTACTTGAATTTAACAAGTATTCTAATTGATGTGTTTTTATCAAGAAAAAAATTGTATAGAGAATTACTTAAAAATCAGAAGTATCCACATAGCCAACCCCAAATTATTATTTTAAAATTCAAAAGTAGGGTAAATAGTTATTTCCTAATATTCAGTGAGAAAGAAAAGTAAATTACATATATAGTTCTATTGTGTGGGTGTGTATGTTTTAACCAAGCTCAAATTGTACTATATTTGGAAACTTGCTTTTTTCATTCCCTTGCAGAATCCATGTTAGTAAGAGAGATCTAACTCATAGTTTTAAACTATTTCCGACTACTCCAAAACGTGAATGTGCCATAATCATCCTTTTATTGGTTTTAATGCAGTCTTACTATTAAAATTTTTCAATGAATATCATTACATATGACGTATGTGTAAGTGTTTAAGCAAAACTCTAGGGTTTAGGCCTAAAAGCAGAAATTCTAGGTCATAAGCTATGTACAATTTTATTTAAGTACAGATTGACAAATGCTTCTAGAGTAGTTGTACCACTTATGTGTTACCAACTAGCAAGTAGATGAATACATATAGGACTCCAAACCCTTGGAAACATTAGTTATCAGCAAATATAAAATTTGTCATTAGTAAGTTGGACAAAAAATAATATCTTACTTTAGTTAACATTTTTCCAATTACTATTGAATTTAACATTTTTTTGGTTGTTTATTGACTCAAGTAACATTATATATCTTTTTCCTAATTTTTAGGCTGGTTTTCTTATTGATTTTAAAGTACTTATATGTTATGTGTAGTGCTATTTCCCAAATAAAAATTTACTGGAATGCTAATATAATGCTGATGGATAATAAAATAATATCAGCTATTTTGCAAGACAGCAAGACAGCTGTATAAAGTTCTTAAAGGAATATAATTAAACCTACCATACACCTAAAAGCCTCTATAATGTCACTTAAGTCTGCTGAGAAATATGATTTTAAAACAAAATTTATAATTAAAAATTATAAAATTTATAAGTTATAGTATTTTTTTACTTTAAAATTAAACAATGACTTCCCATTTCACATAGGATAAAATCAAAAAACTTACTATGACCTAAGAATGCACTTATTACCTGAACCCTTTCCATTTCAATATTTCTACCTAATCCCATTCTCCTCCTTCCTCCCAGGGAATGTCTTCTACCCTATGGCCTTCATAACGGTGTTCTTCTCTCCTCTAGAAAATTCTTCTCCAAGCCTTTGTGTGGCCAACTCTTACCCAATTTTCAGACTTTGTCTTGTATTACTTTCTCAGAATAACTTGCCCTCATGGACAGATCTAAATAAGTTTCTCTGTTTTCTTTCATATCACTAAATCCTTTTCTTTTATTGCTCCTTTAATAATCTTTAGTTATGTATTTATTTGTATACATGGCTGCCTTTCTCAACCAACTATACACTCTACCACAACAGAGACTGTACTTATTTTATTTACTCTTCCAATGCTGAGCAAGATGTAAACAGTGGATTTTAACCAATGCCTGAAAAAGCATAAAACAGTACCAATTAATCATTGAAAATAAGAATTTAGATTATAATTCTGGTTTACCACATAAACCAGAGAATGGACTACTATTAAGCAAATGATAAGAAGCTAATGGGATTGCTCATTTTGAAACTTTAGTAAAAACCTGAATGGGGTCATATGTCAAATAATAACCACAACATAAATCTATTGCTCAACAGCATAATATATATGTTACATGTGACCCTGGGATCCTTTCTCAGCTATCTGAAGAAGAAACATAGTTGAGAAAAGAAACTAAAAGAACATGTGAGATCATGATCTCACAATCCCTTATTGTGATGCTCCTGCTAAAGAGTCCTCAGAATTTTTAAATTTAAATGTCTACTTTCAAAATAATTGATTTCATACTTAAGGATATACAAATATTCAGTAAATGATAATTTTCACAGCAAGTTTTTATAAACTGTTATTTGTTGTGCTTCAGTGGATTTTGGACTATTTTCAATTTCCTTTTCATTCTAAGACTCAAGATCTGTACATAGGCCAGGTTAGGAAGTAATTTAGACTCATCATAAATCCTTTTCTGCTTTTCCAGCTCATGCATTATCTCATTCCCAACTTGAACATTCAGAAGCTTCTGATTTATACTTTTGCCATTCCTGTCTCCACCACTGAGGCCCTGTGGGGATTTTATTTTCTATTCTGCTTAACCACAGATATAAATAGACTCCTTCAGTCAAGACTACGTTCAATAGTTTAAACAAGTTTTTCGATAGAACTCTGTGCAAAGAAGCAATCTAATACCAAATCAAGCCCCCAGGGTTCCTATATTAGGTTGGTTTGTTTTAACACATCTGATCACATCTGGGTATCAAGAAAACTTGTAAGGTAAGCATTTAAGGTGACTGACACTTCTCATAATTAATTACTTTTGAAATGAGGACTCTAGGTAATTATCACAGTAGATTCTTGCCATTGCAGTCTGTGGCAGTGTTTCATGATCCAAAGGAATGATCTTTTCTTAGATTAGTTTGTGGTACTCAATCTTTTCTTTATACACAGCAGTGAGAATAGGGTACAAAGATGTTCTGAATTGTCTATCTAGTCCAAACTGCCATCCATGCAAGTGACCTAAGAGAAACTCAAAGGCAGAACTGTCCTAAATCTGTCCATCATTTAACCTCCTGCATGACTTCCTGCCCACCCAGTCCCTCATCTTCACCTCACCACTGCTCTGTGTTCTAGCAAACAGACTCAGCTCTGTTTAAACTCCTGCCCAGTCCTCTCACTAATTCCCGGCCTGTAGTTGTACTTCCTTCAACCAACTTCACTAGGCTGCCAGAGGGCTCTTTTTAAATTCACAGATTATGTAACTTCCCTGCCCCATGATTTGCAAGTGGCTTTGTCATCTGGCTTCAACCTTATTCCCAGCTTTTCTTTACCACCAGCCCTCCCTAAGCCAACATTGTGAGCAATTACTCAAAGTCCACAATTGAATATGTTCTTTCCTGTGTGTGACACTCTTTCATATTTCTTTCCTTCTTCCATTCTTTGTTCTTTCCTTAAGTAAGCAATGGACCACTAGGTGCTAGCCATAGGACCTAGAATGGTGAACCTAATTTTGTTATCTAGTTAACATTTATTGTGTGTCTTCTATGGTAGAGGCTCAGATAGGAGCTTTATATACATTACTGCATTTCTCTCCAAAACAACTCTATGAAGTTGATATTATTACCAACACCTCCATTTTTATAAAATGAGGAAACTGAGGCTCAGATCAGTTAAGTAATTTGTCCAAAGTCACATGGCAATTGAGGAAATTTCTGACACATGTTCATTATGAGGTTGACTAATTTAATTCAGTATAAAACAAGCTTCTAGTGTTTTAACATTGTTTGACAGGTTCCTATATATTCCTGATGTCTAAAAGAAAGTCCTAAAAGAAAATAAATCATCTTCTAGTGAAGCTTTCTCCCTGAAAACTATGCTGAATTGAATCTTTCCATTGATTTTTCCCCCTCTGCTTCCTCTAGAGGGCTCTAATCTTTGGATAACTTAGTCACCCACTTTGGATAATGTGTAGTATAGCAGTAAATATGTATGAGCCCTGAAGAATAAAACTAGAAGAAAAATTTCACTTACAACATTTAACAACAACGATTTTTAGTTTCATTTCATAGGCATTTTTTTCTATGCTAAGAGAAAAAAAAAAACTGGTGGAAGGTATTTTGTCACTTACCAGGCCAGCAGTGACAAATGTAATTGTCAACACTGTCCTCACAGGTAGCATTATGGTGACAAGGTTTTGACCAACAAAGAGGCATCAAGGTCTCACAGTGTGTCCCTGTGAATCCACTACCTGTGCAGTTACAGCTATATCTGGAGAGTAAATGAAATTTTCATGTCATTTCTTAGTCATACTGAAATCAAATATCTTTATTCTGTCTTTTCATTTTTTCATCAACCTGAGACCCATGACACAGTCTTTATACTTATCCCAAAAACTCTGGGGGAATTATCTCTCTAGACCTGAGTGATGTCTTATTGTTATCTTTTTAAAAATTATTCATGCAAAGTTATTTGGAAACTATGAATATTTACTTAAGTTTCATCCATAAGTTGAAGACAATAATACTTATGCCACAGGGTTATTGTGATAACTAAGTGTACACATAAAGAGGTACTGAGATACTGAGTAAATTACTATTAAATAGTATTAAGAAAAATCGTTAATATTTTTGAAGGCAATAGAGAATGATTTTCCCTTATAAAAAATAAAACAATAAATAATGAAAAACTCAGGAAAAAGTCCTCATTAAATACTTTGTGACTTGTAATATTCTCTCTCTCTCTCTCTCTCTCTCTCTCTCTCAGGTTGCAAGAATATTTAAATCTTGCTATTTCATTGATTGAGTGAGAATATCTAATACACAAATACAAATCTAGTGGGGAAGGTTAAGATGATGGCTTTAATTTAGGCAAGATCATTTAAAAAATTTATTATTATAAGCTGGGCATGATGGTGCCTATCTATAATCCTGGAAACTTGAGAAGCTGAGGTAGGAGGATAGCAAATTCAAGGCCATCCTCAGCAACTTAGTGAGGACCTAAGCAATTTCGTGAAACCCTGTGTCAAAATTAAAAAAAAAAAAAAAGCTGGAGATTTGGTTTTGTGGTTAAGAGCCCCTTGTATTCAATTGCCATTAGCAATATATATATAATTTAGTACTATATAAACTGAGTTTTTTACACCTAGATAAGTGGAGGATTGAGGAAGGAATAGCTGAGAACACAACACTGTTTTTGAAATCCTATTATTTTGATAAATATATTTGAAACACCTGTGTCTTATATCATTCTCCCTTCGAGTGTCATTTACTTTGAAATTAGATTTGGAATAAATTATGCCTTATTACTAACTAAAGGGAAACTGGATTCTGTGTGAATCTTCTAACTTCCATACACTTTAGATTTCTTTGTGTAATATAAGAACATAAATATTCATCTTGTTCTGTTGAAAGATCAAACAAGATGATTTTAAGTGCAATGCTATTAAAAGTTATTGTGTCGTATACATAAAATCTCACATTCACATTTTTAATAATTCCTAGCTTAGTTTTTATATCTTCCCTATTTATGACAGGTCTACTTCCAGGAATTGAAAATTTGTTCCTTTTCCTTAGCATAAGCAATTTCAAACTATAACGAGTGAATTTGAAAGCTCCTCGCTCAGGAACAAAATGACCTCCAACAAACACGTTTTCGTAAAATCTGAATACTACAATTTTTATCATAGAAAGTATAATGCAATGTAAAATCTTTAAGCTGAGGGCATGAGATCTTCAAATTGACCAGAGTGGTACAATAGTTCTCCGTCTCTCTAAGCCATTCGCCCAGCTACAGCAGCAGACATACCTGTTTCCTCCATCCATGCACAGCCCTCCATGGAGACACGGCTGACTCGCACATTCATCAAAGTTGAGCTCACAGTGGTCCCCTAGAAACCCAGGGGCACAGTCACAGAAATATGCTCCCAGAGCATCCTGACAAGTTGCACCATTTAGACAGGGCTGGGACCAACATTCATCAATTTCCAATTCACAGTTCACACCTTTGAAAAAAATTAGCACAGAAAAACAGAAAAGTTTTAGCAAAGTGAAAATATTTTAGCTATTTAACGATGCTTTATTTATTAAAGCACTTGTCAAATGTTATGTCACCCAAAATAATTTTCTTCCTTAATCCTAATTGATATTAACTTTGGTGTGCTTGTGGGAAGTTGCACACAGCAGAGCAGCTGTTACTTACAAATTACTGCATACAACAGCTTGTGGGATTTTAGTCTGTGGAAACAAATAAGTCATTTTTAGAACAAAGTTATTATAAATGACACTTTTATTGGAAGCCTAAATTGGACTGGTCAATTTTTTTTTCATTATTTTCAAAAAGCTTAGTTAGGTCTCATCTAGAATAGTGGATGAAAACTGGGACTTCAAACCAGATAGCTTTGGTTGAAATCAGCACAGCCAATTATTAGCTGTGGAACATTGGGTAAGTTTCTTAGCCTTCCCATATTTCAGTTTCCTCCTTTGAAAAATGGGAAAAATCTTTGTAACCAAATCATAGGATTATTATTGTAATTAAGTGTATTCTGAAGTGTTTATAACAATAACTGGTGCATACTAAGTATTTGCTAGAAAAAAAGAAAAAAAAGACTTGTCTGTCCACAAAAATCTATCCTTCAAATATGTTGTACAATTATTTGCTTAAGTGCTCCTTTTTCATAGACATTTTAAATATTTTCCTATTATGTTGTTGTAAAATACAACTTTTAAATATAAAATTAAATTGTGATTTAATATAATTAGCGGCATCATGAGAACCCACTCATTTCAAGGTAGTATTGTTACAAGAAAAGAAATCAGTATTTATCCCTTCTCCCAAATCGTAGGTGATTACTTGCTAAATAGTTTAAGATTTACAAAAGTAGAAGTGATATTAAGATAAAACCAGTCTTACTAAATCTTTCAACTGGTATTTGATATACACAATAATCAAATTCACAGGCTTTAAAAGACACCAAACGAGGTATATCCATATTTCTCATTTTATTTCCGTGCCTATAATCCAGGATAATAAATTATGTATTGAAATGTTACTGAGGGATTTTCAAATAGCTCAGAAGTAGTTTGATTGGTTTTGCCCTTTTTTCTTAAAAGAAACGGCAGTAGGCTGTTCTGTCACCATCTACCATTCACAGAGTCTACCAGCAGCCAAGATGAAAAGGATGCCAGCACATTAAATTTGATTGTTTTTTTAGAATAAAGAGAGCTTAAAAATCAAATTTATTTCAGTAAAAATTGAAACTTGTGCCATAGCATTTGGGGTCGTGTTCATTTGCTGAGACCTTACTGACCCTCAGCATCTCTCACTGGTCTCACTACTACTGGCTTCCCTCTTTGAAATCACTCTCGGTACTTCTATATAGTACACTTCTATAGGAAGACAAATCTGAGGATATCGATGTCTGCTTAAACTTTTTATATAGCTCCCCTTCCAGCATCTCCAGAATAACGCACAATTGCCTTGTAATGTAGTAGGAACTTCTCAAAGATGAGAACTAGCCAGTGTCATCCACACCATGTGCTTGCATCTCCCCTGTCTCTTACGCCTCTCGCCGATCACAGAGGCCCCCTGACTTGTGATGCCCACTCCTTGTTCCCTACTTCTCCAAACCAGTCCAATTAGTTTCCAGAGATTGAGTTTGAGTATGACATGAGTACTTAATGGCTTCTATCTGGCACTGATGTTCATCCACTGTACTCTCAAAATTCCCTATGATAGAAACGTCTATATTATAGTATTACAGTTGCTTTTTTGTCCATTTTATCTATAAATGCTAAGCACTTTGAAGTCGGTCTTTATTCTTTAACACTCATATCTGTAGCATTTAGCACATATTCTTGAACACAGAAGATGCTTATTGAATTTAAATGAAAAATAGGATTATCACAGCAAGGGAATAATCTACCATTTTTCCTGGAAGACAAGCAGATATACCAGGTCAGAGCTTCTCAATGCCTCTGCAAGCCTGGGCCCCCTCTAAATCAAAAGACTTGAAATCAAATTGATTGCTTTGTCAAACATTTAAAACAAATCATTGTTTCTGAATGATTGTGTCCTAAACTTCTGATAAGCATTTAGACATTTTTGTCCTTCAATATGTACCTTTTGGCAATTAGAGATTGATGTTAAAACTCTGTGCCACAAGATAGTGTGTGTTATATGCTATCAGTCTGGAGCAGGTCTCGTCCCTGATGCTGTCCTCATCACTCATTACAGCGGCTGAGTACGTAGCACAGCAGCACGGCATTGATAAACCACTGTATACCTTTCTATTATCTGCAAAACCCATGCTTTGGGAATAATTGAACTCTGCCTTTGAGTTATCTTCTTAAATTTCAAATTCCACCTAATATAGTTGCTACTCTATGCATATTATTTTTCTTTTGAATAAGAATTATGCTCACTGTTTCTGGGTTCTTTACATATGTCAATTATAACAGTTTCGGTGCAATTCTGTGACACAAATATCAGGCCAAAGAGGAAATGCAGCATTCAGTTTCCATTGCAGTCATACTTATGCAGTAGATTCTCTTCCTACATACCATAGTTACAGTCTTTTTAATATCCTAGAATACAAGGAGAAGCTGGGTGACTTCATGCTGTCATTCATAAGGTAAGATAATCATGGTAACCTTTACCAAGATGTTATGAGAAATTAAGGCAATTTATTTCCATTAGTAACACCTTTGGGATTTTAGCCAATAAGATTTCTTACAGATACCAAAAATTTAAAAAAATGCTGTCTTAAAAATAATCCATTTAAAAGCTGACTTTATAAGCTCAGAATTCTCTTGGTGCTGAATTTTGTCACTTCTAATATTCCTCACTTTTAACATATCTAAAACCAGAATGCACTTTATAGTCAACAATGTCTTAATCTTATTATATTTTAGTTGCATCATTTTTCTTTCTTAGGGATATATGAAACCTAGGTGACATCCCTAATGTATTAAATCTGATGAAGTAATAAAATTGATTTATTTCAAATCAAAGTGGATCAAGTACCTAGGCATTAGACCAGAGACCCTGAATCTACTAGAAGAAAATGTAGGCCCAATTCTTTATCATGTCATCTCAATAAGGCTCTTGAAGCACAAGAAGTAAAATCAAGAATCAATAAATGGGATGGTACCAGACTAAAAAGCCTCTTGATAGCAAAGAAGACAATCAAGAACATGAAGAGAAAGCCTATAGAGTGTAAGAAAGCCTATAGAATGGGAGAAAAATCTTTGCCACCCCAAAAAGACCCAATCAATAAAGGGGCAAAGGAACTGAATAGGCACTTCATAGAAGAAGAAATACAATCAGTCAATAAATACATGAAAAAATGTTCAACATCTCTAGCAATTAGAGAAATGCAAATTAAAACCACACTGAAATTCCATCTCACTCCAATCAGAATGGCAATTATCAAGAATACAAGTAACAATAAATGTTGGCATGGATGTGGGGGGAAAGTTCACTCATACATTGTTGGTTGGAATGCAATTTGGTGCAAGCACTATGGAAAGCATTATGGAGATTCCTCAAGAAACTTGAATGGAACCACCACTTTATTCAGTTACCCCATTCCTCAGTACATATCCACCCGAAGGACTTAAAAACAGCATATTACAGGGATGCAGCCATATCAATGTTTATAGCAGCTCAATTCACAATAGCTAAGCTATGGAACCAACCTAAATTTCCTTCAACAAATGAATGGATAAAGAAAATGTAGTATATATACACAATGGAATATTACTCATCCATAATGAAGAATGAAATTATGACATTTGCTGGTAAATGGAAGGAACTGGAAAATATCATGCTAAGTGAAATAAGCCAGTCCTGAAAAACTAAAGGCTGACTATTCTCTCTAATATGTGGATGTGATGGTGACACATAATAATTGAGGAGAGGGAAGAATAGAAGTTCATTGGATTAGACAAAGGGGAATGAAGGGAAGAGAAGGGGGATAGGAATAGGAAAGACAGTAGAATGAATCAGACATAACTTTCTTTCCCATATGAATAGATGTGAAACTCCACATCATGTACAACTACAAGAATGGGGTCCTAATTAAAAGAAGTTATACTCCACGTATGTAAAATATGTCAAAATATACTCTACTGTCATATATATCTAAAAAGAACAAATTAAAAAATAAAAAATAATAGACAATAGTAGTTACTTTATATGATCCGTATCTAGGAAAACTGAATAAATAATAAATTTCTATAATTAAAAAAGAAAACAATTTTTTTTGTTATTTTATGCTTATCCCATTAATATTTATAAGAATTAATACTTTATTATTTCATCATTATTTTACTTACCTATTTTTATTGTATGTTATTGCAACTAATGAGATCCTTTTGTTTCTACCACTTTTGTTTTCACTGAGAGACAAAACTGGAACAACCTCAGGTTTCAATATTAAACACTTTCTGGTGGTTTTTCTAGTCTTTGCTGTGTCATGTCTTTTTGCACGCTCCTTTTATCACCACAAGTTAAGGGATGTTCGTGACTGCTACAACCTATCTTTCCAAAGTATTCGTGGAGGCTGAAACTAGTTCTGGAAAGGAAAAGAAAGAATGTCTCCCCTTTGTCAACCCTGGGGCAGAGCATAGGGAGGGGGTTCTCAGACCTCCTTGTATCTAATGGTACTTTCTGGAGTTCAGCTGTCTATTTGGAGAACTGTTTCTCCTCTCTCCTCTGTATGCATTCTTTAGTCTTCTTCTCCAACCATGTTTCTCTAATGACAACCATGTCATTCTTTCCCTTTTACTCCCCTCACAAATGTCATAGCATTTCATTGATATTATTGTTTTCCTAAGTCAATGGGTATGACTTTCCCAATCTATTGACTATAGTTTGTATGTGTGTATACATACATGTGTGTGTATACTTTTTTATAACTCTAGGAAGATAATAAAATAGTATATGCTAAGTTTAAGAAGTCAAAGTAATCCATTTCAGAGTCTCTAAGATGCTGTTTGAAAA